CCCCGCCCTACCCCCATGCCTTCTTCAGCAACCGGAGCTGTGATATGTTCATATCGATCACTGCAAGCGTCCTCGCACGGAAGTGTTGCCCGCATTGCGTCTGGCAATTGAGTTTGTGATTTGGTCGCTGCGCTCGGCGTTTCACGTTTGGTGGTGGCTCAAGGAGAGCCACACTGAGTCACGCGACTCGATTTCAGGCCAGTCCTACCACGTGGCAATTTGTGTCTATTGATTTGAAGATTGTTTCCGACCAATACACGATCGTTGTTTTATTATGCACGTGGTAGGAAAGCGGAGCACCCGGGTAGAAAAAAAAACCACGCCTTGCGCGACGGGGCAACGCTCTATTCCCGTACAGATGGATTTGCACAGGTGGCGGTCAGGCCTACTTTCTGTACCGCCTTCGACCTGGCGAGCCAGGGGCAGGGCGCCGCCTCGACGCCCACGGTGGGGGGGGGGGGGGGAGTTTCACAGCCGCCCATAGTAACTGTACTACACTACAGTTATTTTGCTGTGCCTTTTTACACCTGATGAAGGAAGCTTGTGTTGCCTCCGAAATGTCGTGATTTTTATTTTATTTCTATTATTATGTCTATTATTTAATAATTGTAATTATTATTTATTTATTTTTCACCTACGTCACTTACCGAAAAACCTAAGAGTTTGCACGTTTTCCCCGTGGTCGCGTGGATTTTTCTCCGGGTCCTCCGGTTTTCCCCTCCACATTTCGAGTCAACGTCACGCGTTTAGAGTATTCGGCTGCTGCTCTAAATATCCACGTGATGAAAGGCTACTTCTTCGTTGAGCTATCATTTGTGGCCAGGTCGCTTTCTGAAAAAGAGCCATGTGGCTCAGTGGATCCTTACCTGGTAAAAAATTAACCCGTAAAAACAAAGTTTTTCACTATAAATCCTTTATATGCGTGGCATCGGTTTTATTTTATTATTCATTTCTGTTTTTCTTGAGTAAGAGTTTCATTTTTATCACATTGGTATTTAAAATTTAATATGAAATTTTTTTTTCCTAAAAAGTGGAAAATTTTGGGAAAAAATTTCACGAAAATAAATTCTCACGCACAACGAGTCTGTGTGCAAAATGTCAGCTCGATTGGATCACGGGAAGTGGGTTAAAAAACGACCGAAAGATTTGCACGGTCGTAAGCGCGCAAGCAAGCAAGCAAGCGAACTTAATATAAAGGATTTAAAAATAAAATGAAACAGATATAATCATTTACGTGTTGGCGTAGGCCGGATCATGGTGCCGTGCAGGAGAGGTGTCGAACGTGCGCGCGGAACGCCAAGCGACACGTTGATCCGACGACAACAACGCCGATACACAACATGAAGCAAGCGCCTCGTGTGATCTCTCTCAATATTGTGGCCTTAATAGCCTTTAAACCATTATTAAACTAGTTAAGGCAGTCAACATATTCAGCAATTATCTATTTTATTTTACCAGTTATGGCCCACTGAGCTATGTAGCTTTATTTTTATTAAGCGGCCTGGCCATCACAATAGCTCAATGAAGTGGCTTATCACCACCACAACCACCACCATCATCTTCATCATCATCACGTGGAGGTGTAGAGCAGTTGGCAAAATACTCTCAACAACACGCACCTTTCAGAGGCGCGGGGCGCGGGGTAAGCGGGGGACGGGGGGGGGAGTGATCTTGTTGATGGGATGGTTGTGGTGGGATGGTGGTGGTGGGGTGATGGTGGTGGGGTGGTGGTGTGGATGGTGGTGGTGATGTTGGATGGTGGGGTGGTGGTGGTGGGGTGGTGATGGTGGGGTGGTGATGGTGGGGTGGTGGTGGGGTGGTGGTGGTGGGGTGAGGGTCACAGCAATAATATGGAGTGGTGGGACGCGTGGTGTTAACAAGCACCCATCGCTGACCCACTTGACCCTCACGTCGACGGGCGAGGGCGGGGTGGGGGGGGGCCATGCGGCTGTTTGCAATCTCGTTGTGTTTTTTTGTCGCCCACGTGACAATTAAACATCCGAGCTAATTCGGAACTCGCGAATTGTGTCGACTCAGCGCGAACCCGAGGTGGGGGGAGGGGGTGAGGGGTGGGGGGCGACGCGCGTGCACGCGTGCACGTGCTCCGTCAAAGCGCCCCCCACCAATCCACCACCACCTCGACAACATTACGGTCCTTACAGTCAAGCCCAATGGGGGGGGGGGGGGGTGGTCGATAAATCGAGTACCACTTTGTCAATACCGCTTCATGCGTGCAACGGCCGTTGTCCGAAACAGGACCGCAGAGTGCAGTTCGCCAGGAACTGCCGCCGGTTCATTTATATTTTTGTTGCATGATGCACAAAGGCCGAGAGATTTTATTCGTGTTGATTTTTTTTGTTGGTGCCCTTGTTTGTGTGTGCGTGCTTGTTGATTGAAACTCGTGTCCTAGGAGAGACCGCCAACCCCTAACGTCGCTCGGTTTCGTGACCAATTTTATCCATAAGAGGGTTTTTTTTACGATCGCGTCGATATGAATGAGTCGTTAAACCCGCCACGGCTAATTAGTAGGAGGCTTGTCACGTAAACTAAATATGCAAATTCGTTACTAGTACAGCACACCGGTTGAGTGTGTGTTGGAAAGTAAACCCACTACAACATTTACAATTCGAGTACGACGTTTCGCCAGTAATTACAACCAGCTTCTTCAGTAATCACAACTGATGATGCTAGCTGTAATGGCTGGCGAAACGTCGTACTCGAATTGTAAATGTTGTAGTGGCTTTACTCTCCCACACACCCATAGTAACTAATTGGCACGTCCTGTTTACGTGACGACCCCTTACTAATTGGCTGTGTCGGGTGGTGGCGGGTTTGACGCATTTATATTTACGCGATCTAACGCAATTAACCTCGATTATGAATCTAACGGTGCTACGATGCGTCGATTAATGTCACGAGACATGCAACGAATCGTACGCGCCCGATACGATCACCCACCACCACGTAACATCACCATCAATGCCACCACCAACACGGAACACCACCATCACATAACCACCATTATATCACCACGTACACCTCATCACCGACACTACATAGTAACTACTACATCCGTAGCAACTATTGCTTTCAAGCTATCAATTCCGGTTCAGCGATTCTGCACTTGCACCATTACTATAGTACTATACTGCCTTCAACTTTTACGAACGACCAGGTGTTTAAGGTTAGCGATTTGTCGCATTACCTGGCTGTATAGCAAATGAAACAATACAATTACCTTACTATGCAAGTAAAAACATGTGTTTTTATTTACGTGTTTTTTTTTATTTAGGGCCCCTTTATAACATATGCTACAGGCCCCGCATTAGCTTAATCCGGCACTGGGTAGCGTTCAACCCCACCCCTCGCGCACGATAGTACCAATATTGTTCAGGCGCAGCGATGCCAGTGTTCAAGTCTGCTGCCGCTCACGAGAGGGCTTCAGCAGAGAGAGAGAGAGTTCGTGTCGTGTTGCTGTTCATCCTCGTCCGTTGAAGGAACGCAAACCAGTGGGTTTACTACGCTGGTCCAGTGTGGGGTTTGCACATAGTCGCACTCCTTGTGGGGCTCGTGCCTTACATGCGTCTCCATCTCCGTGTGCCTATGGATAGCTATACATCGCGCAATTGTGTCACTCCGCAGTCGGAGCACATACCACAGTGGGTTTACGACGCGGTCCGTAGCTCGTGTGGCCACAATCGTACTCCTGCGGCTCGTGGCTTTTTTAAAAATCTCCCTCCCCCCATTCACTAAGACCCAATTAGGATCTTCTGATGCGGCCGATTAGCACGGTTGGGTTACGTACGGCGCGAACGTTACACATTAGGTACATTACATGGTTACACCAGCAATGTCTTCGAAGCGTAGGAATGTTAAAGCCAGGAGATGGTGCGATCAGGGTTGGGGGGGGGGCACGAATGAGGCTGGGTTAGAATTCACGACGTCCAGTTCGCCCATCTATATAGACGGGAGTCTTCTTGGTAGCGTTAGGCCCAATGAGACGATTGGGCTAGGCCAGGGGCCGGCGCAACATGCAGCTCTTTAGAGATTGCTTTGGTGACGTTACTTATCATGGACCACCGCACTCTCGTATCTCACGTACATTGCGAATCATGAAAGTTTACCGAATTCAACAGGGACTCTTGTTAATTCGGTTGCAGACCCCCCTGGGGAGAGGCCTTCATCCAGCAGTGGATTGACAGGGCTGTAGGTCAAACAACCACCACTCGCAGCAACACTTCCACACAAAAACAAAATGCGAACAAGTATAGTATTTTTTTTGTAAATCAACTTTATTTAAATCGTTGTTCGCAACGGCTAAACAAACGGGCACGCGCGCGCAGTCACGGAGTCCACACGGCACCACGATGTGTAATAAATTCGGCGAGAGACAGAATGGTAATTGGTTACACACGGGCTCTTGTTAGACCACCACCCATCACCGCCAGACAAAGACTTCTTAATAAACACAATTGGGTAAAAAGTTGTAGATTTTTACGCATGTCGTGTTTGTGCAGCAGGAATATAAAGTTACGGTCAGGACAGCATTAACAAAATAAAACGACCGTAATTTAGCTTAGACCAATTTCTTTTTTAGAAATTTGATATATTATCATTAAAACTAAATGGTCTAGAACTTAATTTGACTTGCGGCTCCAAAGACGCGAAAGTTTTTTAAAAGTAGACTGCATCGACGCAAAACAAGTTTGTTCGGATTAGTTAGACATTCAAATTTACATTAAAGGCGTCTCACGATCCGTTCAATTATTCCACGCATTTAAAGGGTGCCTCCTAAAGTCACGTACCCCCCCACACCGTACACTCCTACACATCACCCTATGCACTCAATTACACACACGATGCACTGAAACTCAATATCTCCCGAACATTCACCCCCACTAGGCAAAGACCCTTGCGGAAATCTTGTGGGACGGACTCTGCGACATCCCCCCCCCCCAAACGCAACCCCTCCCACCTCTCCACATCGTGCCATCGTCTCCTATTTGACACCAAGAAGGCACCCCCCCCTACCGCCAAAATGGTCACTCTCGCACGCGGTCCACAACCTCGCTAAAAACAACCACATCCCCCACAACAACAAAATAACGACAGAGATAGGCGATCTCAGACCACCACCACACATTCCACGCTTGGCAGCAACCACCACCGCCACAACAACCACACCTCATCGGTTAAAAAAAGAGGTTTCAGTGTCACAGGAATATAAGAATTAGGGACCCGTAATAGACCGGTTCTCCTCGTCGTCACCATCACCATCGTCGTCGTCTCAGCCGAACATCTCCTGGGAGGCGTAGGTCATGTAGAGGAATCCATCCTCGTCCTTGTGCTCCACGTAGATGTCAGCCATGGTGGCGGCCATGGAGGGGACGACGCGGCCGTTCACCATGAGGTAGAAGGCGTGCGTGGAGCGCAGGAGCAGGCGGTTCCTGGGCGAGACGCGGATTGGTCGTCGTCCAATCAGTCAGTCGACCAATCCACGGGACGGACACCAAGGAGGCCCCGCCCCATCAATAGACGAAGCCACACCCACCACCACCACGTGACCACCACGTGACCACCACGTGACCACCACGTGACCACCACGTGGACAGCACGTGGACAGCACGTGGACAGCACGTGGACAGCACGTGGACAGCACGTGGACAGCACGTGGACAGCACGTGGACAGCACGTGGACAGCACGTGGACAGCACGTGGACAGCACGTGGACAGCACGGACGACCACAACAAAAAAGGTAAGAGAACGAAACACGAGTCAGGGGGAATGAAATCAGTGGAGGCAGGGGGGGTGCGAGTGCGTGGAGTTTACGGGACGCTTCCCAACAAAAGCCACAGGAGGTTCTCTCATTCGCAGGATGGAAACGGACGGAGGAAGCAGTCGAGGAGAAATCAAAATTAACAAATGTTCTTTGCGTATTTTACAACGAGTAATAGCAATGTTTAAAATAAACGCGACCGATGTCAAATGGCGCATGCCGGTAATAGCAATGAGACTCCGTTCACATCGCAACTGGCTTGACCAGAGTTGGTACCCCCCCTCCATCCAGCAGTGGGTTGAGCAAGGGCTGCAGGTATTGGAAGACCGATAAAGTACATGGAGGACGGAAGGGGGAGCGATGGATCTGGAGGGGTGGCGCAGTGGTTAAGGAACTGCTCCATTATCCCAGCGAGCCGAGTTCGATTCCTCGCCACTGCTCTCACATCGGTGACGACCGCTACAGGTGCTCACTCCAACCCCCCCCCCCCCACCGCCCCCCCCGTGAGGCTCACCTGATGATGCTGACGAACTGGCTCATGGTGACTTCTCGAGGTACCAGGAACTTGGTTTTGTCGAGAGGAGGAAGAGTTTTCTCCCGTGAGTAGCGCTCCACAATCACCTGGGAGGGTCAACCACACCACCACAACATCACTGACACCATCAACACCCCACCACGCCTCTCCCCTTGCATCATGCGAATGCATCAACCCCCACTACACTACAGCCACATCATAACTCGTCGTAGGTTATTATTACAGATTTTATTTTGTTTGAAAAACTCAGAATCGTAATCTGTTTTTTTCCCAGGTGGGAATCCGATGAGCTATGAAGCTCTTCATCACAGATGTCCTGTACGGGGAAGGTCAGCGAGTCGCAGCAATACAAAAGACGATATCGGTGCAAATTAGAGGATAATAAAAGCTAATCACTATAAAAATTAAAAAGTAGTATTACAAACATTTTAAGGAGGTGCAAACCCCCCGTTACGAGTCTCATAAACTTGAGCCCCAGCCACCGACACATATATGACCGGCTCCGTGGCCACCCACTCGCAGTCTCGCGAAACCCACAGCCCGCGGGCTGCTACTGCTGCTACCAACCTCGAGTCCATTCCTCCTGCTGGTTGCCTTCCATTGGCTTCTCCAGCCATTGGGAAACATCGTCATCAACGTCGTCGTCTCATCGAGCAGAGCGTCCTGCCCAAAGCCGTCTCAGTTCTCACGTCCGGATGATTTATAAAGCCCGCGTCGTGCGTGGCCTTCCAAGCCACGCGTTCTTCCTCGATGTCTGAACTACAACCACCACCACATTACACAGACCTCTCTCCCTCTGCACTACTCACCACCACATTACAGATGTCTCTCCCTCTGCACCACTCACCACCACATTACACAGACCTCTCTCCCTCTGCACTACTCACCACCACATTACAGATGTCTCTCCCTCTGCACCACTCACCACCACATTACACAGACCTCTCTCCCTCTGCACTAAACTCACCACCTCATGATATAAATCCCCCCCCCCTCTGCACTACAACACCAATTAACCACCACGAATATTTTCCCGCAACTCCAATTAAACACGATTGGCTACGTGCGGTGCGGAATAAGTTCAACTTACATGATGTATATAAATATTTCCCTGCTGCGCTATAACAACCACAACTACCACCACCACGTTAGATAATTAACAATCTCCCCCTCTCTTCGTGCTGTGGCCGAGGTCGATGACGACGATGAGAGCAGGAGAGAGAGAGAGAGGGAACTGACCGGGACTTTAGTGGGGAACTTCGCTCGAATCCCTGCCACCTCTTCTTTCCGGGTAGCTGCAAAGACAAAGACAAAGATACCCCTTGTAGCCTTGGCAGACTGTTGGGGCAAGTGCTATCAACCGATAGCTGGGGGGGGGGAACAAAAGGCCGGAACGGCACACACGAAGGGGGTAGGTGACCAGCACCACGCCCGGCTTCCTTCATCTCCCTAGTGACGATGGCTACACATCGCACCAGGTACTCATTTGAGGCCGAGTCGACCTAGCGGAGGGCCAGGACCGGTTCAGATAATCGTCACCGATGTTGGCAGTGAGCGGGAATCGAACCCGGGTCGCTGGGTTCATAGCGCAGCGTAGCGCTACACCACCGCCATGCATACACCCCACCCCCCCCATCTTCCCAATTGAAAGGACACGCAGACGGGAGATAACGAACACCTATTAAGGCCACGTGCCCAAGGAACCACGCCACGATCGTCCCACGGTGGGCGCGCGTGCCGCTGTACGCCTCGGGGCAGCTGTTGAAGGCGGACCGAGATCAAAGCGAGGAGAGGGGGGGGAAGAGCTCGCGTGGAGTAAATACGGAGAATGAAAATAGAAAGCAGCAGGGCAACGTGAACAAAGAAGTGAGTTTTTAGCGGTGCGAATTCCGTTTGCCTGCAACGCCGCAAACACGGAACATCGAAAGAGGACAATGGAACAAAGGCTAAAAAAATTAAGTTTTTGTTTTTATTTTTCAAAATGTCTTGCTGTGGATTTCACACCTGTGATGATTGCTTGTGTTGCAGTCGAAACGTCGTGAGAATTTTTGTTCCATATTTTTGTATTATTTTATTATTTCCCTTCTACGTGACTTTACCGAAAGAACCAAGAATATAATAAAATAGGTGTTAAGATAATAAAACACCAAATAGAAACCTTTTGCAAGGAATAAAGTCCGCATTAACCACAGTGCTTGTGGTGAACATGTAAGTAAACATGATCCGATAATTATATCCGCCTCGTCTTCGATAATATAAGCATCGACTTTCTATTGGGCGTTTTAACATCTTAATTTGAAGCTTTCGTGACTTCAGGAATCCACACTCGTGGGTTCTTTCGGTAAACTCACGTAGTTAGAAAAATAAAACAAAAAATAAAACACCACGACGTTTCGATCGCAACACAAGAAGCCGACCCGCTTGTGTTGCGATTGAAACGCCGTGATATTATTTTTTGTTATATTTTGCTACCTACGTGACTTTACCGAAAGAACCAAAAAAGCATCTTAATACCTCTTGTTTTATTGCCAAAAATGGGAAAACCGATTAAAACCTATTCCTATTTTTTTCCTACTTTCACGCCGTCAAAACAAAGTTGCCATTTCCACGGCACAAACGGGGTGCCGAGTGCGCAGACACGCGCGTGACCCGCACAGCGCCTGACACCACATCGAGAGAAAGACGGAACAAAGAACGTGTGGTGGGACGGGGGGGGGGGGTAGTAGCCAGCAACGTGGACGCGAAGGCAAAAAAACTTGGACTATCGAGAAGGGGGGCAGGGGGGGGGGCTTCGGCATGGCGCGAGAGAACGACGCTCGCCTGTCCACTCGCTCGCGGCCACGTGCTGGGGTGGGGGGGGGGCACCGCTAACATCGCGAAACCCGACGGACGGCAGCGGCGGCTCGGGAAAGGTCGTCATCCAGCAGCGAGTCGATCGTGGCCGGTGACGATTACATTGATGATGATGAAGAGCGAGCGGTTAGAGATTAGCGATTTGATGACGATGATGATGGTGGTGGTGGTAATGTTGTTGACCTCTACCTGGGGTGGGGGAGCCAGGTAAGGCGCGCACAATGGGGAAGGGGGGGGGAAATGGGGGGACTGAGGGGTGGGGGGGGGGACTGAGGGGTGGGGGGGGGGAAGTCCCAACGCGGCCCACGACTTCCATTCCCCACGGCCCGCGGACGGACACGTGCGAGCGAGATGTCCCAGGGCCCCCGTACGGGATGGCGAACTCACCGAGACTCTTGCGCTGTTTGAACGGCTTGTGGCCCTGGCTGGCCTCCACCGAGGTGGTCATGGCGCACAGGCGGCATGCCCCCGCGAGCCTCGCCCGCTTCAGACACTCCGTGGTCGACGCCGTCGTTGCTGCCGCTTGCGTTCGAGGGGAAGGTGTGGACGCGCCTGGCGACCAGAAGATGATGATGGGTTACGGTGGCGAGCCGGCTTGGTGGGTCACTGGCTGGCTGGCCGGTCGGTCGGTGTGACCCGCGAATTGTCTGCTGGACTAACTGGCCGACTGTTCGAGTGGCTTTGCTGGTGGATTGTCCCGACTGTGGCGAGCTAGCGGACTGGCCGACTGAGTGGTGGACTTGGCTAACTGGCAGGATTGGTTGGGTTATCGATCTGGCTGGCTGGCTTGCTTAGTGGTTTGTGACTTGGGCCGGTGGAAGGAGGGACGCGAGAACGCGTGGCTGGCGGTGGGTGGCGGCGTAAAGGAGCGTTCCGCAACACGTGGAGGCGCGAGTGATTATATCGGCTGGGTTGTGTAGCGGCTTCTATAAGTAATGTTGTGGGGGGTGTGTGTGGGGGTGTGTGTGGGGGTAGGGGGGGATAACCACACCCACACGCGCCCTCTCACTCATGTACGCCCAGACACACACGCACACGAACACACACACACGTAAAAGCACAATTGCCAAAAATACACACGGTATTTAAATATACACGGGCACGTTTGCATATGCACGTAGGCACACACACACTCACACACTCATTTATGCACACGTACACGAACTTACACACACACCACACACAACGCGTTGTCATACATACCAACAAACCTACACATACACGCGCCTACTTATACTTAACAGTAATATACACATATAGACACAATCGCATGCACACGAACGCACACAGAAAGACAAATACACAGAAAGACAAATATACACACCCACAGACATACAGACCCAAACACGGACAAAATCTAATCCCCCCTCCCCCCCCCCGTATAGCGGTTCATAGAATATTGAGCCAAGTGCTGTTAGCGAGCACCTATTAAGGCTGGCAGGGCACACGAGGGGGTGGGTGGCCAGCACCACGCCCCGCCGCCTTTGTCTCTCTTTCAGTGCCGACGTTTACACATCATAGCAAGTACCCATTGAAATGCATGCACCCACCCACACCCGCACATACAAAGGCACACACGCATACCACTTAAACCGGCGTCAGTCCATCAAGTTACTCCATGAATGAATACCAATCTACTCTAATTGAAACCGGATTGGCCGCTAAAGGAATGTAGCCTTCTACAACGCACGCGTTTGCGGCTGTGTGTGCAATTATGTTATCAACAATGATGACGATTATCATCATCAACATGATGATAATCAACATCACTCCAACATTATAATCTTCATGATGACAATCATGATGATTATCATGCTGGAGTGATGATGTGCATTGTGTATGCATCTTACGTCCCAGTCATTGATTACTATACAATACACTTGAGTCATCTTGTAATTGTTTGTGTGTACATATATAAAACCAAGCAGAGTCATGAGTTATTTGAAATTTATTTTGAACCTCAAATGGGAAACGAAATTGATTGCATATGAATCACAGTCATAATTATACGCAATTCTAGATTTGAAGCTTTCGTGACTGCAAGGATTCATACTCTTAGGTTTTTTCGGTAAAGTCACGTAGGTAAAATAATAATAAATGAAAATAACTAAATTAAATCACGACGTTTCGGAAGCAACACAAGCCTCCGTCATCGGAGGTTTGTGTTGCTTCCGAAAAGTGATTTAATTTAGTAATTTTCATTCATTATTTTATTTTATTATTTTTTTACCTACGTGACTTTACCGACAAAACCTAAGAGTATTATACGCAATCATAATGCATGCGCCGTATCCGCAATGAATTGTGCGTCGATTATAATAATTAGATAATCATCTACAATTTGTAGCAGCAACAAAAGCTGCTCGCAAGCCAGCGTCATCTGTTGGGCGAGGCTGACACCGCTGATGAGACCCTGAAACACACACGCCGCTTGATGATGTTGGTCTGGACAAGCCAATCGGATGATAGCCATGATGGTGAGGATGATGGGCTAAATAGACAAGCACGTTGTATTTACAAAGGTTGAAGTTTATTTCGTTGAACCAGTGCGAGAAAGAAACCAGACGCAGGATGGGTATTGTCGGTGGTGAGATGTTAACTCCCTCGCCTGGTACGCAGGAGGTCGCGGGGTCAATCCCGACTCTGACGCCTGCTGCTGTATATTTGGAGTTTGCGGGTCTCTCTCTCTCTCCCCGCAGTTCGCGTGGATTTTTCTCCGGGTCCTCCGGGTTTTCACTCCACACTTAGAAATGTGCGTTTCGAGTATTTGGCTGCAATACATTTTCACGTGATAAGCCACTTCGTTGAGCTATCATTTGTGGCCAGGTCGCTTCTAAAAAAAACAAAACCAGCTCTATAGCACAGCGGGCCTGACCTGGTAAAATAAAATAACAATAGTTTAAATCGTTTAAATAGTTTTCGTTTATTTGCAATCGTGACCTGGGTCACCAATGTTATAAACCAACAAATATCGGAACAAAAACAACTGCACGTCACACGAGGACAGGGTAAACATTGCGAACTTAAATCCCCTGCAGCGTCACTCGCCTCGCGATGAATTACCCCGAGATCATCTCTGCTGAAGCCGTGCTGATGATATTATCCACCACAACACGGGCCGCCAAGGCTGATGGGATGTGTAAAAAAAATATATAAAACTTTTACGCGTGTACGTGAAGTGACAGATATTTGACGGGTATCTACTGTATGTACAATGTCGTACGCGCAGAGTGGTGAGTGGCGCGGTGAACCTCGTGTCATCAGTGGCCATGTATATGCCTCCGCGTGTAGGTCGACTCAGCCTTAGATGAGTGTCTGGTGCTTTGTGTAAAACAGCAGCGACTGGGAGACAAAGGCGGCCGGGAGTGGGCCTTCCCGTCCCACTCCCCAAAAACCCTTCGCCAATCCAGTGCGACCGACGTGGTGAAGTATGGTGAAAACATATGGATTCAGGGAGGGGTCCAACTATGAACGATTATGATAGCTACGATGAATGTGGCCTCCGCACGGTTTCTGGCTTACACACGAAACAAAGTCGATTTTTATTCTTGGCTCATTCGGTAAAGTCACGTAAAAGGGAAATAATAAAATAATAAATACAATATAAACAATAAAAAATTCTCACGACGTTTCCGACTGCAACTACAAGCAATCATCATCAAATGTTCTTGCTGTGGATTTCACACCTGATGATGATTGCTCGTGTTGTAGTCGAAACGTCGTGAGCATTTTTATTGTTTTATATTTTTATTATTTTATTATTTCCCTTCCTACGTGACTTTACCGAAAGAACCAAGAAGATGAATCCCTGCAGTCACGGAAGCTTTAAATCAAAAGTCTATTTTATTCTCTGTGTGTTTCTGCTCAATGTGAGAGTCGCGAATGATGGAGTCATCAGTCTCTCTCCCTGCACTCTCCCCATACTCACATTGCTGATCTCACCGACGGCTCTCTCCAGCCAGACCGAACTATCTGGGAGTAGTCAGTTTAACACGTAGGCTTTCGCGACCAATATTATTCATATAAGAACGGGAGACACAGCAGAGCCTCACCATTCTGGCGAATTGCCGATGATGCTGGATGCAATTACCAGCGAAACGTCGTACTCAAAAATTGTAAATGTTGTGGTTTCACGCTTCAACACACCGGTGGGCTAAAGCAGTGAACTATTTGTCTTTTGTCAACGTGACACTTTTTTACTGATTGGCCGTGTCGGGTGGTGGAGGGTTACGACACATTTATAAATAACGCGATCTAAACCCAAAAACGTTGATTATGAATATCTGGGAGTAGTCGTCCCTTCTCTCCCGATAGCTACACCTCTCCCTTCAACCTACCCCCCCTCCTCCGACCCTCCACTACGACGTACTTGGGTGTAGCGCCCGCGCGAACTCTCAAAGAGTCGTCGTAAATAGTTTGTGTTGAAATAGTTTGTGTTGAAGCGACACATTTTTTTCTCCGCCAGCCACCGCCGTACGATAAACACGGCAATGTTTACAGTTAGAACCAAAAAAAAAACCCCCGTGGCGTCGTGCAATTATGCAGCATTCTTCATCGGCCATGGTCGATCCACTGCTGGATCGCAAGCCACCGCGGGAAATGTATAAGCAATTAAAGCAAGGTCGTAATTATAATATATATTTGTGGGGGACACATCCCACCCAAATATTCAAAGATCCTCAAAATGCCCCCCCCCCCCCCACAATATATTGCTATAAAATTGATTTATGTTTATATGATTGTGGTTATGGTTGTAATTTATTAATCCATAATCTCTGCCATTACAGACAATGAAACAAGAAAAGGTAAAAAATAAAAAAAAACAGAGCAATGTAATACAATACACTATTTGACATTGTTGTAAAAAATAAATAAAAAGTCCATCCTATGTGTTAGTGATTTTTTAAATATTTTAGGCAGGAAATTAATTTCCAAATTTAGATTTTTTTCTGGGGGGGGGACCCCCAGACCCCCTGGAAGATTTGGTCCCCCCCAATGTTGACTCCATGGCTACGGCCTTGAATTCAATACACGGACGAATCATGGGACCTCCCTTGCCAGTATATAAAGATATATTTTGATACTGGCATGATGTCGCCGGTCACCCCGAGCTCTCAATGCCATGAGAGTAGCATTGTCTTTGTGCTGTTCGCCTTTTGGCGTCGTCCTCCGGGTCTAACGCTGTGTGAGACGAGGCTCTGAAGAAGGCCGTCTCTGGTGTGGAACAATCAGTTTCAGAGACAATGCATCCATCATAAACTATCAGAGCATGTTTGTGTTTGTTAGCGTGTTCACCACAAGTATATGTGGTGAATGCAATACATGATTCCTTGCAAAATGTTTCGGGTTTGGTTGTTTTAACATCTGAACGCAACTGTTTAATTATGTGCAGAAAGGGTAAAACCTATTCTTATACACGAGCGAAGTAAGCGATCTTAATCTTCTTTAATTTCATCGGCCCGAGTGACCATTCGTTGCATGCATTTTTCCACCGCCATTTGGTTGAAGCGAGCCAACGTCGGGCCGGTGTGGTTTTGACCTTTTGAGGTCTCATCGGCACGGCCGGGGGCTTGGCAAACACACTCCGGCGTGCAGTCGGACAGAGCACGCTCCCCCCCCTTTCTGCAGCAGTGCAGGCGACCAGCGGAGACCCTCGAGCAGAGTGGAGTGCAGCAACTTTTCATCAATCGTTCTGCAATGCCCTCTGCGAGCCACGCACTTGGCCCTGAATAGGCTGCTACCACCACCACAAACTACTACTACCAATACCACCACCACCCATACCATCACCACCACCTACTACTACCAATACCACCAACTACTACTACCAATACCACCACCACCCATACCACCACCACCAACTACTACTACCAATACCACCACCACCCATACCATCACCACCACCTGCTACTACTACCATCAACACGACCACCACCAACTACCACCAATACCACCACCCATACAATCACCACCACCACCTGGAACTACCAATACCACCACTGATACCATCACAACCACCACCACCAACTACTTACAAAACCACCACCAATACCTCCACTAATACCACCACATTAGGAACTAAAAGAAGACAAGACAATGATCCCCCGAATAGTCGATACAGACTGTCGGGGCAAGTGCTGTTTTGCAAGTAACACCTATGAAGGCCGGCACGGCCGTCTTTGTCTCCTGAGTGGCAGTGTTTACACACCGCACCAGGTACTCATTTGAGGCTGAGTCGACCTAGGGGATACCCAGGACTGGTGCAGATAATCGTCACCGGTGTTGGCCGTGAGCGGGATATCGAACTCGGATCGCCAGTTTCGTAGCACAGCGCGCTCACCACTGCGCCACCGCTCCCCCCCAACTATAAACGCACGACCAACAACAACCACCACCACCCTCCACTCAGCCCGTGGCAGCAGAACTACTAGTTCACCTTTTCATGCAAAGTCACTGAATATGCCGCTAGCCACTCCGCTCGCCGAGGACTCCACGGCTCACTATGGGTGGAAAAAACCCGATTTTTCCAGCGGCAGGCATCGGGTTTTTTCTGTAATACAATTAAACCCGATTTCGGGGAATTAAAACCTGCTTTAATGAATACGAACCTCTGATCCAAGGCTTAGGCTGCTTCCTCGTCGGTGCTATCATCGTACTCGGGGCCGTCGGGCACGGGGTAGTCGTAGAGTGCGGCGGGCAGGTTGGTCTTGATGAACACGAGCTTCTCCTCCACAATCGTGGGCGCCAGTGAGTTCCTTCGCTTGGAATGGATGAAGCTCATCGTTGAGAAGTGCGGTTCTGCAATTAGAACCAATTAAACCGGATTTCTCCCAATTGCAAGATGATCGGGTTTAATATAGAAAGACAATTAAACCCGATTGTAAAAAAACCCCGACTGTGCTACCCTTGCGGCTCACCCAGTCCCCTGCGGTGTCACCCACAGGGCAGCGCTGGGGGTGGGGGGGGGGACCTGGGAGGGGGGACCGGGGGTGGGGGGAGCGACCCGTGGACCCGGCTGTGTTGGGGCGCCCTCTGGTGGCGCAAAACGGGGAGCGGTGGCGCAGTTCTTAGCGCACTGCGCTACGAACCTGGCGAGCCGAGTTCGATATCCCGCTCACGGCCAACACCCAGTGACGATTAACTGCACAGGTCCTGTGCCCTCCCCTAGGTCAATTCAGCCTCAAATTAGTACCCTGGTGCGGTGTGTGAACATCGCCACGAGGGAGACAAAGGCGGCCGGGCGTGGTGCTGGCCACTCACCCCAGCGTGTGTCGTGCCGGCCTTCAGAGGTGCTCGCTAACAGCACTTGCCCCAACAAGTCTGTTAAGGCTATTCGGGGGGGATCTTTGTCTTTGTCTGGAGGCGCATGTGAGTAACGCAGGGACTCGTGCGTACAGGATTCCCTTGCTCTGTGCGGCAAGTAAATGCGTTCCAAACAAAGGGCGCACGAAGCGAAATTGCGTAGCGTGGAGCACGCGGTCACCCAAACCCACAATCCACAGCGCGAGAGTAGCGCACACAGACACGCAGTGCACACACACAGACACACAATACACACAGTGCACACACAATACACACAGAGCACACAGACACACAGTGCACACACACACACACAGTCACACACACAGACACACAGTGTACACAGACACACAATACACACAGTGCACACACAATACACACAGAGCACACAGACACACAGTATTCACACAATACACACAGTGCACACAGACACACACAGTACTCACAATACACACAGTGCACACAGACACACACAGTACTCACACAATACACACAATACACACAGACACACACAGTATTCACACAATACACACAATACACACAGAGCACACAGACACACACAGTATTCACACAATACACACAGACACACACACAATATTCACACCGTGTTGTCCCACCTTTGACCGCATAGCCGCACTTGGAGTGAACGCAAACCGCACAGATCGAATTTTGTGTAGAAATTCGTGTCTCCCCGGCGTTCTGCGATGTCGCGAACATGCGGCGAACCTATTTCAACCCAAAATTCGCAATACAGAAGTTGATAGCAGCGGTGCTCAAGCCCAAACAACAACAACAACAACGGATGTGGTCTTATAATGATGAAAGCATATATAACAGGCGACGTTTCGGGCAATGGCCCTTCTTCACAGTGCACGTCTCGGTGTGATGTTGTCACCGGCCCATTGCGCCCGACAGGTGGCGTAAAAGTCACGTGGGAACCAAACGCGTGACCCTGGTGGGGGCAGCAGTTAGGGCAGAGGTCGCAAACGGGTTTTGATTCCTTACCCGTACCCGGCCGCACCAGGGTCGCAAACGGGTACCCGTACCCGGCCGTACCCGTACCCGGCCGGGTAGGGGTAGGGTACGGGTATCGGGTACCTGATTGCGACCTCTGGGATGAAGCAATGTTGCAGGCGCGGGTGGGTTGATTCTAGGAACTTGAATTGTGAGAAGGGACAAGACGTTGGGAAATGAGTGACAAACAGTTACTCACCAGTGACTCACGGCCTACCCGTACCCGGCCGCACCAGGGTCGCAAACGGCTACCCGTACCCGGCCGGGTACAGGTAGTCGGGTATCGGGCAGGGTACGGGTATCGGGTACCCGGTTGTGACCTCTGTGTTATGGACTGCTGCTCTGCGTTGGAGTTCTAAACCAAAACTATTTCCTCTATTTGACCGGGTAAGGCCCAACTGAAGCTATGCGGCTTTGTTATCAGAAGCGACCTGGCCACAGACGATGACCCTACGAAGTGGCCAATCATCACGTGGACGTTTACAGCAGCAAAATACTTCAAAAGCGTTTTTCTAAATGTGGAGGGGGGGAACCCGGAGGACTCAGAGACGAATCCACGAGGAGAGAGAGACACGCAAACTCCAAATATACAGCAGCAGGCGTCAGGGTCGGGATCGAACCCACGACCTCCTGTATACCAGGCGAGGTAGTTAACATCTCCTAGCCACCGTGATGATGATGAGAGAGACAGACACCGCAAACTCCAAATAAACAGCAGCAGGCGTCAGGGTCGGGCTCGAACCCACGACCCCCTGCATACCAGGCGAGGTAGTTAACATCTCCTAGCCACCGTGGCCTGCCTGTGGGGGGGCTGTTTGCGAGCGCCTATTGATGATGCTCGCACAGATCGCACGAGGGAGGTGCGGGATTGTGTGCGGCCAGGACAGTTCTAACGATTCGCGCCCAGCACGAGCTACTCATTTAAGGCTGAGTCGATCCAAGCGCGGTCCAAGACCACGTTCAGTCACCACTGATGTAGTCGTGGCCTTTATCTCCCAGCCCCCGCCCACCCCCAGCGCTGATGTTCACAACACACATCACACCAATTACTCATTTGAGGCTGAGTCGACCTCGAGGAAGCCCAGGGGCCAGTTCAGATATCCGCCACTTATACTGGTGGCGAGCGGGTGTCGAACGCAGGTGGCCCGGTTCGTGGCGCGGTCCTCTGACCACTGCGCCACCCCTCCCCGTGCCGACCTTCGCAGGTGCTCAGCAACAGCACTTGCCCCAACAGTCTGTTAAAGGCTAAGGGGGGTGGGTGGATGGGTGTCGTCCTTCGGGGAGCGGTAGTGTAGCGGTTAGCGCGCTGCGCCATGAACCTGGCGACCCGGGTTCGATTCCCGCTCACGGCCAACACCAGTGACGATTATCTGAACCGGTCCTGGGTCCCCCCTAGGTCGACTCAGCCTTAAATGAGTACCTTGTGCGGTGTGTAAACATCGCCACTGGGGAGACAAAGGCGGTCGGGCGTGGTGCTGGCCACCCACCCCCTCGTGTACCGTTCCGGCCTTCATAGGTGCTCGCTAACAGCACTTGCCCCTACAGTCTGTTAAGGCTACACGAGGGATCTTTGTCGTCCTTCGTACCCACACTTTACCCCACCACCCGTCTCATGCTGCCGGGTGGACAGAGTCAGCCTCGGCGGGGATGAAGGAACGCGACCCCCATTGTCTGGGGAGGCCTTTGAAGGGGGCGCCTTTTGACGACGACATTAATGTGGTGGCTTTCACCTGCCGACAAACAAGTGAATGAGTCGCTACGTCTCGCCGCAGTCTGCGCGTCCGTCTCAATCGACATCGTCACTTTAACGGCCAGTGCGAGTCACGTGGTGGGGGGGGGGGTAAGAGCGGTGGAGCCGCGGTTAGCGCACTGCGCGATGACCCCACCCACTCCCACCGGGTTATCTTAAAAGTTCGATTCCAAACGTCTTGATTGAACTCCAACTTCTCTTCATCAACCCAGCGCTGAGCAGCGTGGTGAAGTATGGTCGAACAACCCCTGACACGTTTATATATTTACGCGATCTAACCTAAAAAAAACTATATTGTGGAAGTGGATATTAATTATAGATTTGAAGCTTTCGTGACTGCAAAGATTCATACTCTTTGTTTTTTTCGGTAAAGTCGCGTAGGTAAAACAATCAATAAAATAAAATAAATCATTACAACCAATCACGACGTTTCGGAGGCAACACAAGCCTCCCTCATCAGGTGATTTAATTTAGTTGTTTTCATTTATTTTATTGATTGTTTTACCTAGGTGACCGAAAAAACCAAAGAGTATGAAGTGGATATTCTTTGACTTTTTGAAGATATTAACATACATTTGTTATCACGCTTCAGTGTATTTATCATCCGTTCGTTTTCCATGAAAAACGATAGTCCCATATAAGTGTTGAAACAATGTTGAAGCACCCCGCATATCGATCGAGACACAGGGATAGAGATCCCCAGTGAACATGCAGCCAAAGCTACGGACCGCAGAGTAAACCCATCGAGAGACACACGTAGAGACTCGTGTACAGAGATGCACAGAGACTCGTAGATATCGACATACACAGAGATGAATTCAAGACGAGCCATTGTTAGTGCCACCGTAGCCATACAACCGCACAGTAAACACACTGCGGCCTGCTGCTCCTTCGACGGAGGATGAGGAACAGCGACACGACACGAACTCTCTCCCGAAGCCATCTCAGAATCAGAATGTTTCATGTTGTACTGGAGGGATCCGATTAGCTATCAACATCTTTTTCACAGATGCCCAGCAGGTTATGGCCAGCAGCAGCAGCAGCACGAGGCCTCCACATCGGCATCAAGCTGCTCAACCGCATCGACGCGTCACACGTCCCCCTGTGAGCGAAGCTGACAGCGCGTAGTCATATCACGGTTCATACACCGAGCGTATTAACCAGGGGGGGGGGGGGGTTGTCCGATTCGAACCGCGAGCTTCTGCGCAACAAGCGGCTTGCGCGTCACCGCTGAGCCGTGACACCGCCCCGATGGGAGAGGGGGGAGGAGGGGGGAGGGAGGGGGGGAGGGGCGGGGGAGGGGCGGGGGAGGGGCGGGGGAGGGGGGTGCTCTGAAGAAGGCCGGATTAGCAAAGGAGAGGTGAAAGCAGTTACGGCAGGGCGAGAGAGAGACCAGAGAGAGAAGGGGGGTAGGAGGAGGAGGCGGGCAGAGCCATGGAGAGGGAGGGAGGGAGGGTGGCGTCGGTCAATGAGGAGGAGACGAAGGGGGCAGCAGCTGCCCAATGAGCGATGTTCACGGCGGGGGCTGACGCCAGTGACAGACTTCCCCCACCCACCCACCCACCACCCGTCCACCACCTCCCAACAAACCACCCCTAAC